AGTTTCTGAGTCTACACGCAAGAGCCCTACACCCCTTTCCAGGTTAAAAATAAGGGATCTACTTGCCTCTCTTAATCCTCTTTTGCTCCTTAATTAGCTGCCAGGATAATCTTGTAGGATATAATGATAATATTCGTAATAATTATAACCACCACTTTTTGAGAGTTTATTGTGACTTAGGGATTATTCCAAATGCTTTCCATGTATTATCTCATTTAATCCTCACCACAACTCTAAAGGGTTGGCACTGTATTATATATATTTGTAAAACTTCATTTTACAAATGGAGATACTGAAGCTCTGGGAGGTGAAGTGACTTGCCCGGGTAGCACATCCAATAAAAGGCAGAGCCAGGATTTAACATGGCTATATCTAATACCAAAGCCTCTTGGCTAAATCAGTGGTTCTCAAAGTGCAATCCCCAGACCAACAGTATCTTCACCAGCTGGAAATTTGTTATAAATGCAAATTCCCAGGCCCCACCGCAGATCTTCCTAACCAGGAACTGTGTGATGGGGCCCAGAAATTTGTGTTTTAACAAGACCTCCAGGTGATTCTGATGCATGCTAGACTTTGAGACCCACTAGTCTAAATGAATAGGGAACCACAGGTCAAATCCACTCTGTTCTCCCTGCAGTAGCCTCCCTGCTACTTACCTCAGCCCTCCTAAATGTCTTGGGGGTCCGCACCAACACGTAGTGGCAGGTCTTGCACCCAGGACTTCCCTGCACTTGAACTGTGTCCTCTTCTCTGGGGCACTCCTGGTCCTGGTCTAAGGCAGCTGGGTCCAACTCCATGGCCTCCTCGTCCTCAAAGGTGTCTTGACAGGCAGAAGTCTCAACCTCTTCCCTCTCTGACTTAATCACCTCCTCAGTCAAGGCCAACTCTCCCTCCTTATCCCCTGAACCGTCCAGATCCTGGCCCAGGTCTGCCTCTGTCTCTAGGGTCTCCAGATGGGCGGCATCATTCTCTGGGAAAAAGAGAGATAACCGGCCATCTTCTTCCAGGACCACGGACAGCTCCAACAACCGCGCTCACCCCTTCCTAGCCACGCCATCGGGATCCAGGACTGGAGATGTCCTCAGTATTAGCTGAGAAGAGATCTCTTGGGTCAAACCCACAAATGGACAAGAGCCTGACTTCTGGCTGCCACCACAGGTGTGTATTGTGGGGGTGAGAGGAAGCACATGTGAGAAGCCTGGAGTGGTCACCAGGCCTTCATCTTAACAGGTGGGTGGGTCTTCCTTCTGAAAGTTTGGGTCAT